CAACAAAATAGTCAAAACAAAAACAACTAGAAATAATCTAATTTGGATACAAAAAAAATCCTAAACTGATAGAACAACTCCAGCATAATGCTAATATTTGATTAGCATATGTACCGTCAAAAAATATACAATCAAATCTCTAATATTAAAAAAATATTTATATTTGCATAAATAAATAAAAACGGTAAATATATATAAAAAATGAAAATAGTCTATAAATAAAAAGAAATAAAAACAACAAATGTAGATAGGAAAACAGTAAAGTTTCTAATTAAATAAAATAAATTAAAAGAAATGAAAATGATCTATATATAAAAAGAATAAAAACAACAAACGTATATAGGAAACAGTAAAGTTTCCAATTAAAAAATAAAAAATAAATTAATAGGGTAAATATGTAATCTATCATTTTAATACATGTATAACTAATACCCACATAACTTATTCCACCTTCTACCCTGCATAACTTTATACATAGATTTCCTCATAAGTTATGTTGGTATTAATTATGTAGGACTACAAATAATGCAACCAAACACCGCATAAATTAATACATGAATAACTTTTATACAACATTTAAATTCTTACCAACCAAACATGGTATAAGTTATGCTGACTTTTATACCTAATACAAAACTTCTACCAAACACAGTAAAACTAATGTAACTTTTTATACATGAATAAGATGTTTTTTATACAGTAACCAAACGACCCCTAAGATTATAGAATTGTATACGTTAAACATATTGACAAATATAGCTCTTAAAATTTAGACGGACTCAATAATTTTTCTTTTTATTATGTATTTGTATTAGGATATTTATTAAATATATGTCTGATTATAAGTTTGATGGTAAGTTTGAACTAAAAAAGTTCTAAATTCTGGTTGAGTTTCTGCACGTACACATTTGTTTAGTCTCTTATCACACGTAAACGCCATGTATTGAAATTATTATTAATTTATTTAAATAATAAATAATAATATCAATTGAGGTTATTTATGTGTGATATTAGAGAATATATGAATGTGTGGTTTTAATTTTTTATTCCGTGGTCCAACTAAAGTTAGAGATAATACAACAAATTAAGGAGATCTAAATTATCTTGTTGAGTTGTCAAAAATTGAAGCACATGGTCATATTCATTCCTCTTTCCCCAAGGCCTAGCTCAAGTGGAAAAGGGTGGAGAATTTGTGGCTTAGGTCCCAGGTTCAAGCCCCATACCATGCAAAGAGAAGCCCAGTATTTAAGTGGAAAAGGGTAGAGGGGTGGGCCCATTATCCACCGAGTTTAGAAGGCTGTGATTGGTCCAAAAGGTCGGTCACAGATGGATTTCTCGGTTCTTAAAAGAAAATGTCTTGTTGATTTGTCAAAAATTGAAGCACATGGTCATATTCATTTCTCTTTCACTTAGAACCGTTCAGCCCCCAAGGCCTAGCCCAAGTGGCAAAAGGTGGAGGATTTTGTGGCTTAGGTCGCAAGTTCAAGTCTCACGCCATGCAAAGCGAAGCCCGGTATTTAAGTGGAGAAGGGTAGAGGGGTGGTCCCATTATCCACCGATTTAGAAGGCTGTGATTGGTCCAAAGGGCGGGTCACAGACGGATTTCTAGGTTATCAAAAAAAAATATCTTGTTTTTGTCAAAAATTGAAGCACATGGTCATATTCATTTGTCTTTCACTTAGAACCTTTCTGCCCCCAAGACCTAGCTCAAGTGGCAAAAGATGGAGGATTTGTGGCTTAGGTCGCAGGTTCAAGCCCCATACCATGCAAAGTGAAGCCCGGTATTTAAGCGGAGAAGGGTAGAGGGGTGGGCCCATTATCCACCGAGTTTAGAAGGCTGTGATTGGTCCAAAATACGGGTCACAAATGGATTTCTCGGTTATAAAAAAAATCTTATTGATTTGTCAAAAATTGAAGCACATGGTCATATTCATTTCTATTTCACTTAGAACCTTTCATCCCCCAAGGCATAGCTCAAGTGGCAAAATGTGGAGGATTTGTGGCTTAGGTCGCAGGTTCAATCCCCACACCATGCAAAGTGAAGCCCGGTATTTAAGTGGAGAAGAGTAGATGGGTGGTCCCATTATCCACCGAATTTAGAAGTCTTTGATAGGTCCACAGGGCGCGTCATAGACGAATTTCTCAGTTATAAAAAAAAAAGTATCTTGTTGAGTTGTCAAAAATTGAAGCACATGGTCATATTCATTTCACTTTCACTTAGAACCTTTCAGCCCCAAGGCCTAGCTCAATTGGCAAAAGGTGGAGGATTTGTGGCTTATGTCGCAGGTTCAAGCCCCATAACATGCAAAGCGAAGCCCGATATTTAAGTTGAGAGGGGTAGAGGGGTGGGCCCATTATCCACCGAGATTAGAAGGCTGTGATTGGTCCAAAAAGTGGGTCACAGATGGATTTCTCGATTATAAAAATAAATATCTTATTGATTTGTCAAAAATTGAAGCACATGGTCATATTCATTTTTTCTTTCACTTAGAACCTTTCAGCCCCCAAGGCCTAGCTCAAGTGGCAAAAGATGGAGGATTTGTGGCTTAGGTCGCAGGTTCAAGCCCCACACCATGCAAGCGAAATCTGGTATTTAAGTGGAGAAGGGTAGAGGGGTGGTCCCATTATCCATCGAGTTTAGAAGGCTGTGATTGTTCCAAAGGGCGGGTCACAGACGGATTTCTCAGTTATCAAAAAAAATAATATCTTGTTGTGTTGTCAAAAATTGAAGCACATGGTCATATTCATTTCTCTTTCACTTTGAACCTTTCAACCCCCAATTAAGGCCTAGCTCAAGTGGCAAAAGGTGGAGGATTTGTGGCTTAGGTCGCCGGTTCAAACCCCATACCATGCAAAGTGAAGCCCGGTATTTAAGTGGAGAAGGGTAGAGGGCTAGGCCCATTATCCACCGAGTTTAGAATGGTGTGATTGGTCCAAAAGGCAGGTCACAAATGTATTTCTCGGTTATAAAAAAAATATCTTATTAATTTGTCAAAAATTGAAGCACATGGTCATATTCATTTTCTCTTTCACTTAGAACCTTTCAGCCCCCAAGGCCAAGCTCAAGTGGCAAAAGGTGGAGGATTTGCGGCTTAGGTCGCAGGTTCAAGCCCACACCATGCAAGCGAAACCCGGTATTTAAGTGGAGAAGGGTAGAGGGGTGGTCCCATTATCCATCGAGTTTAGAAGGCTGTGATTGGTCCAAAGGGCGGGTCACAGGCGGATTTCTCAGTTATCAAAAAAAATAATATCTTGTTGTGTTGTCAAAAATTGAAGCACATGGTCATATTCATTTCTCTTTCACTTTGAACCTTTCAACCCCCAATTAAGGCCTAGCTCAAGGGGCAAAAGGTGGAGGATTTGTGGCTTAGGTCGCAGGTTCAAATCGCATACCATGCAAAGTGAAGCCCGGTATTTAAGTGGAGAAAGGTAGAGGGGTGGGCCCATTATCCACCGAGTTTAGAATGGTGTGATTGGTCCAAAAGGCGGGTCACAGACGAATTTCTCTGTTATAAAAAAAATACCTTATTGATTTGTCAAAAATTGAATCACATGGTCATATTCATTTCTCTTTCACTTAGAACTTTTCAGCCCCCAAGGCCTAGCTCAAGTGGCAAAAGGTGGAAGATTTGTGGCTTAGGTCGCAGGTTCAAGCCCCACACCATGCAAAGCGAAGCCCGGTATTCAAGTGGAGAAGAGTAGAGGGGTGGTCCCATTATCCACCGAGTTTAGAAGGCTGTGATTGGTCCAAAGGGCGGGTCACAGACGGATTTCTCGGTTATCAAAAAAATAAAAAATCTTGTTGAGTTGTCAAAAATTGAAGCACATGGTCATATTCATTTCTCTTTCAGTTAGAACCTTTCATTTCAATCTGACGTATGATGGGTTTGGTACGAAGGAAAATGTGTTTTATGAAAAATGTTTTCTAAGAAATATATTTTAGAAAAATAAGTGAAGTCTGGAGCTTATTGCAATATGTCCTCAATGCAATCACGAACCAAAATGATCCAATGAATACACAAATATGCAATTTATCTTTATGCAATCCTTCCTCTCCATGATTCCAAAGTAGCACTTATTTACACTACCACATGAGATAAGAGAAAAGTACGAGCATATTTACTATCTTCAATTGTTCACAGTTTGATTCATTTTAAAAAGGCTTTGAACATTTCCGTATTGGTTCCCATAAATCAGGATTATGGCTAACTTACAAAAGAAAAGGGGAAAAAAGAATTGATAGCAATGCTACTTATACATATGAAGATTTGGCATAAACACCAGCATTGCTGGTTTTTTTTTATAACTTTCATGTAGTTTAGTAGGGAAGCAAAAAAAATTATGTCTCAGCAGGAAATGGAATATTTTAGCCAAAATGGAAAAATATAAAACAAGCAGTGGGAAACATGGAAAATGATAAAAATTCTAGATTTTCCTCCCTATTGTAATTGATGATGGACAGAATTTTTTCCTCCCTTCCTTGGTTAATGGTAGTAAAGATTCAACAAGCAAAAAGGAAGAGGATATTTCTCACTATGATACTCTGTGTGTTGCTCCAATTGCACACGCAAGTGTACGTGGTATAGTGGCTCTTAAAAGAATTGGATTATTGAACCAAATGACTTGTCAATTAACTATTTACTAAATTATATATACTAGTCTAATTATTTATTTAAGAGTGCCAAAAGTGTTTGATCAAAATATTGGTTGATCAAAATATCTTTTAAATATTGATCAATCGGCTTTTATACCCTCTTGAATTGTGTTGTTAATTTTAATGCAATCTATAATGCGATAACTTTATAAACATATTTTGAAATAAAACTGTTTTCAATTATAAAAATATGACATTTTCTATTAGATAGATTAACAATATATTTTTTTAAATGTGTCGTATAAATTGAAACAGTGCGTGTAACTCACATCATATATATGCCTATTTATTTGGTGCATCTGTGCCCGCCAACACCCATGAACAAACAAAGTTTAGTGAAAATTAAATGAGTTCTTTGTTAGTACTCCCCCAAGCCCAGTTCTTCCCAGTATCATGTAATTTGGATCGTCGTCTTCTATCGACGAAATCATCAGATATATTTAGGTATGGCCATTTCTCCAAGAGTTTGAGGCATGATGATCAATTAGTTCATCCAGAATTTACCCCTAAACACGTCGCTATAATAATGGATGGGAACAGAAGATGGGCTAAAGCAAGAGGATTACCTGTGCAAGAGGGTCACAAATTTCTTACTCCTAATCTTAAGAATATTTGTAATGTTTCTACCAAACTTGGAATACAAGTTATCACTGCTTTTGCTTTCTCTACTGAAAACTGGAATCGTTCTAAGGTATACTACTTCCTTTGCCCCAATTTATGTGGAGTAGCCGAGTTTAAAACTATTATTAAGTATTTAATTTGTGTGGCTAGCTAGTAACAATTTGCACTTTGTGCAGGAGGAGGTTGATTTTTTGATGAAACTGTTTGAACAGTTCTTTGAAGAATTTATGAGGTACTTACTTGTATATATGAGATAGAAATTTCAATTTTCTCATTAGTTTAAACTAACACAGGTTTGGTGGAGTACGTGTGTCTGTTATTGGAGGTAGATCCAAACTTCCGATAAAATTACAGAAAGGCATAGAGTTAACAGAAGAGGCGACCAAAGGCAATGAAGGACTTCATCTTACGATGGCACTAAACTATGGAGGAAAATATGACATGTTACAAGCAACCAAGAGCATTGCCAGTAAAGTGAAGGATGGTCTTATAAATTTAGAGGATATCAACAACAAATTATTTGAGCAAGAACTCGCTACCAAGTGTGCTAAAACACCTGATTTAGTCATAAGAACTGGGGGAGAACAGAGGCTCAGTAACTTCTTATTGTGGCAGCTCGCTTACTCTGAATTGTACTTTACAAAGACGCTGTTTCCTGATTTTGGAGAAGAACCTTTCAAGGAGGCCATACTTTCCTTTCAGCAAAGACACAGACGTTTTGGTGGACACACATATTGAAACTCCTTTTGTTATTTCCTAATTCTCTTATTGTATGTATGTGTGTTAGTATTTCGTGATCTGCAATATCCTCTCAAAATGTATCAGCCAAATTGATGGTTTGAAGCAAGTGAAATACAAGAAAGAAACAACCTTCGGGGGTAAAATATCCTCTTACAACTTCTGTTTGTTAAGAGGGTTTTAAGACTTGAGAATATGAATGAATGCCAGAGAATAATTGCTTATAAACAAGTTAACATGATATACTATTATATTTTTCAGACTTACAAGACTTCAACCTAAGTTCATCAAACTGAAGTGTAAGATTTTCAAAATGAAATAATGGACAGACAAATCTCAATAGGCTAGAGAATTACCCATATTTGCACATCACTTTCAAATGACATCACTGTCAAATCTAGAACTGATTTTTTTCTTCTCTTTTTTTTTTTTTTGGTTTGAAAAGTTCATGTCTGGAGCTTATTCTATGTCCTCAATACAATCACAAACCAAAATGATCCAATGAATACACAAATATGCAATTTATCCTGTTTAATCACAACTTTATGCAATCAATTCCTCTCCGTGATTCCAAAGTAGCACTTATTTACACTACCATATGAGATAAGAAAAAAGTGCGAGCATATTTACTATCTTCAATTGTTCACAGTTTGATTCATTTTAAAAAGGCTTTGAACATTTCCATATTGGTTCCCATAAATCAGGATTATGGCTAACTTACAAAATGAAAGGGGAAAAAAGAACTGATAGCAATGCTAGTTATACATATGAAGATAAACACCAGCATTGCTAGCATTTTTTTTTAACTTTCATCTAGTTTAGTAGGGAAGCAAAAAAAATTATGTCTCAGTAGGAAATGGAATGTTTTAGCCAAAATGGAAAAATATGACACAAGCAGTGGAAAACATGGAAAATGATAAAAATTCTAGATTTTCCTCCCTATTGTACTTGATGATGGACAGAATTTTTTTTCCTCCCTTCCTTGGCTAATGGTAGTAAAGATTCGACAAAAAGGAAGAGGATATTTATCACTATGATACTCTGTGTGTTGCTCCCAATTGCGCACGCAAGTGTACGTGGTCGCACAAGTAATATAGTGGCTCTTAAAAGAACCGGATTACGAATCCAAAGGACTTGTCAATTAACTATTTACTAAATTATACTAATTTAATTATCTATATCTATATTACCTTAAAAGCATGAACTCCTAACTTGAATGTTAAATTACTATAATATCCCTAGCTTAGGTTGTGACTTTTTCGATGACTTGTGACTTTTTCAATAAGTTGTGACTTTTTTCAAAGGGTTGTGATTTTTCGATGAGTTGTGACTTTTCCAAAGAGTTAAGTTGTGACTTTTTAAAAAAGTTGTATCTTTTTCAAAATGTTGTGACTTCTCGGAAAGGTCATGATTTTTCAGATAAGACACAAAAAATATTTATTCATACTATCCTTTGTTGACTATAAATAGAGGGATTTCCTCTCATTTTTCAACCACATTTTTTTTCTAATCTTCTGCTTTTCTTCTTCTTCTTGCATTTTAAATTTTTTTGTATGATTTATTGTCGTTTAGTGAGTTCGAAGTTTAGCAGAATATGAGGTACCACTATTCTAATGAAGTAAGTCGTTTATCCTAAGAAGGTATATTTCATAACCTCAAGTACTTGAGAAAAATAATATAATTTTTATGATATAATACTTATTTTTTTGCTTAATATATACATTAGTATGTAATGTTCCAATATATGAAGTTAGCATGATGTAGTCTAAATTCATTTGTTTTTGTTAACAATTTCTCTTGTGATGTAGATATATGATTCTGAATATCTTTTTCCAAAATTTAGAGAATTGTCACGATTTGTTTTTGATGCTCAAGACAAAATAATGACTTTATTTATCAATGCTACTTATGTGATTTAGACTCTCAGGAATTTTTCTTCAAAATAGTTATTACTATATAAACATTTCCCTTTTGTTTTACTTATTTACTATATCTTAATATTTCTGTATTTTAGACGAAAAAAAGTTCATATGACTTGTAATAAGGCCAGTTGAAGTTTGTATTAGTTTAATTTTTATTATTTATTTAATTGCTAATTTTATGAGATAAATATTTTTATTAATGCAAATATATATTTATTAGTTCACCTGCTTGCATACAGTCCCCTGAAAATTGTAAACATGTACTTTACACCACTAATCAACTTTGTTTCTTCCCCGTGAAGCATTACTTATATAGCCTAATATTGATTCACCTGCTCACATACAATCCCCTCGCAATTTAAACAACTTTATATTTATATGTTACTTCTAACCTTAGTTTAGCCGCACTTTACATATTAATGATACCCTCTTTTATGCATCAAATCCCTGCTTAATCATGCAGATTTCGACCATTTGCTGCCCTCATCAATGGTACTAATACACAATAACGCCAAGAATTAATATTGTCACTCAATGGTAGTCATCAAGCTCCAATCCACATGTCAACTGAAATTGAACTAGCACAATGGAATGTATCGATAAACAAGATACAAAAACAGTCCGTCAATTCGGTGATGAGAGTCTTAGTTATTTGAAGGGGTTCAATAATACCTTACAAGAATTCAAGGCATGAAGGGACTTTCAGAACAATAATATTAGTTAACGAAGAGGTAATAACATTGACATTTTTACTTACCTCATTATTTTATTGTTCATGTTTATTGTACTTATATCCCCACCCCTTTGCACAATAATAGGTATAAAAATTCAAGCAACACTATTTAATAAACATATCGAAATATGGAAGGACTCCTTGAAACAAAATAAGAGTTACTACATTGCTAAAGGACGCTTAGATCGCGTCAACCCCAACTACTATTCCATACATAAAGAAGTTTAATTGGCATTTACAGATAACACAATCATAAAGGCGGCTGACATTGAGGTTTCAACACACACATTCTCTGTTGGCTTTGTATCATTAGATCATGTCGATAAATTACCTAATGGTGCTATTCTAGGTAACTATCCACCCAAATAATTTGTTATTTAATTTCATGTTGCATTACGTAATCGCTATCACTAATTTACATTACCTATTCTAAAATTTGATTTGTGTTTTAGTTTCAATGAATCCCCTCATTCAAAAAGAATATAGCAAGAGACAGGAGATACTTGTTGCAAATGAGCAGTATGTTTTGAAGATTCTTAATCTACCACCAATATAGAGATATGGTGAAGTATTGACATTTCGCTTTTACTTGATAACCCAACATGGAGCATACAACTGTTACTTTATGAGAAGATTTTGCAGAAAATGACGGTGTTTTTCTAGAAAAGATGAAAGATGATAAACCTATACTTGGCTTATGTGACGTTAGAATCTCAATCTATAAAAGTATTGGCCATACTACTTTATGTTTTTATAATAAACTGAGTATAGTTGTTGTTTCAAATTTGAAACAAGCTCTCGTCACACTAGGCACTTTTGAAATATCTACTATTTCCATACGTAGCGTCTTGATCAATCCATAGTTTCAAAAAACCACGGACCTGGTACATTACATTAATCACACATATGTTCTACAATGTTATTAAACCCGATTGTCACAACTAATGTACATACTATACTTTTGCATTGTAGGCAGGTTACTTTTAAAGTTTCTATAACATGACACAATTGTTCTATTATCATTGTTGGGTTATTACATACTAAAATTCCTAAGTTCCCAAAAACTTTGCACCGAGCACATCTCACTCAAAATTGGTGATACAGTTAACTAATCTCATAGAAAATACAGGCGTGAAATGGTAAAGGCCGAAAATAAAGATTTTATGGTAACACCAAGTAAGGATATGAGAAGAGCCATAGAAGTTTCGTTGATATATATATATATATATATATATATATATATATATATATATATATATTATGGATTGATTGCTATCTTATTCACAAGTACATACTATCCTATACTTCTACTCTCTAAAAATAATAACCATTTTAATATCAGAAATATAATCACAAAGATGAGCCGTGGTATTCGTCTTGCAAAAAGTGCAGCAAAAAAAGTGAAAGTCATAGAACATATTGTATCTTGTAACAATTGCGACAATGAGAATGTAGAATATGAAATGAGGTTAGACTTAGTAAAAACTCCATTCTATATTTACTAATTAGAAAACAAATTAACTTTTACTTTTAAATAACTCCCCTTTTTAAACAGATACTGCTTACGACTTGAAGTGCATGGTGGAAACAACGTGCTCGAGCTATACTAATTGAGGCGGCTAATTATTTACTAGGCTGTAGTGTGCAATACTACATAGAATCGACCTCAATAAAGATATGAACTATATTTATACCTAAACACCTTAACGCCCATTGGACTTCGCCGCATAGGTACATTGTCTAATTCGTCCTAATTTTTACAGTTCATAGCACAAAAGAAAAAAAAAGAATTACCCGATTACATATACATAACAATTGATGATTCTGTAAATTTATGCATTAGGTTAGTTTTGAAAGAAAATGCGTCCATCATGCTGCTAAGAAAACTGGACCCATCAAATGGCTTATGCAATGGGACATGGTTGATTTGTAGAGGCTCTGGCGAGAATGTCATACACGCAGAAAAAAAAACAGGTCAATATGCCACAAACCATGTGTTTACTCCAACAATACAACTATCACCCTCCCTCCCCCCACGAAAATGAAGCTAAGGATACCCTTTCAAATTTATTCGCAAAAAATTTCCAATACTTCTATGTTTTTGCAATGATGATAAATAAAGCTAAATGTCAAACGATGTCAAATGTAGGAGTATACCTACCACAACATGCTTTCTCGCATGGTAAACTATACGTTGCACTATCTAGAGGAATATCTATGCCAACAAAAAAAGTGCAAGTTATGACTAAACAACCAGATTGATGCACCGAGAGATGCACAAGAAATACTGTCTACAAGAAAGTATTTGGTGAAATTTGATTAATACCAAAATTGTAAGAAATCAAACAAGAAAAAACAAAAGGCAACATATAGTTCTAATGTTGGACGAATTCTTAGGTTTGGTGGAAGAGGAGATGATATGAAAAACACCAGACAGCTACCACATAAGACATTACTTTGGTGTATATAAAGTTATTCAAATACAGGGTACACTGAATTACAACTAATAAAAAGGAACATACAATTCATGACACGACATAACTAAGAGGACAAATTGTTAATTCATGCACAATTACTTACTAACAAATTGCCTAAGAACAATTTAAGAATACGACGTTCGTCAATACATGCCCAACAAGCAATAAAAGGCAAATAGATTGGCCATTCACTTAGTATGACGTAGTGCAATATTAAATACATATGTATATGTTGAAAGCCTAAAATATACATAAAAAGATAAAATATCTCGTGTATAGGGATCTCATGACTTGATCTACACGTGCAACACACGTGTAGTGAATCTAGTTTATTTAAAAGTACCAAAAGAATTTGATTTTTATTTAAATACTAAGAATGCAGGAATGAAATAATAAAATTACTTACAGTGATTTGGAAAATTCCAGGGTTGCAACATGTATAGATTTCATGTATCACATCTCATGCATGAACTAACTATGGTTATCAAATTACTGATTTACAGGATTGATTTTATGATTATGGTCTCCCGACCTCTAATCGCCTACTCCAATTAGTTGTCTAACTACATCGTTGAGCGGGGATAGACAGTCCTAATTGGCGAGCATTTATATTTCATCATGTTTCGTAACCAAGCTAGGTGTTCGTCCCGGCGTCACTCCTAAACACAAATCAACTCAATTTAATGGAAGATCAAGCTTTCTGTATCCTTTGGTCAATCTATCTTAGCGTCTCCCGAGTTTAAGAATAGACAAGAGATTTATCTCTATGATGGCTAGTCAAGAAATACTAAAACAAGAACACAAAAGTAATTTAAAGTGATAACCAACATTAATTCAAAACAATCGATGTTCAACAATTACCCGTAGCTACAGCCCCAGATCACCGTGCATGCTATGCAAATTACAGACTTGGATACTAGCACTAAGATCTACTATCTTTTCTATTTATGATAAGCATAATTCCACCTTCTGTGTAATTTTAATGAGAATTGTGTGAAAGAAGTGAAGAATGAAGAGAGGCTTCCAGCATCAGTAGTAGATGAAAATCACACGGTAAAAAATCAACTAAATTAATGAGAATTGTGTGAAGAACCTCTTTAGCTTCTTCTGTGAGTTTGTTCCCCAGCGTCTTCAACATCAGTACAGTTTTTGGTGTGGATTTCCATAAAAGCATCAGCTGCCGGGTTCTAGGATGAGTGAAGGCCAAGGAAAATTATGTTACCTTCTTGACTCCATTTATACAGCACCAGCAGAAGGTGGGGAGACCTCAATATTCCTCCTCTGTGACAGTGACTCAGCATTACATTCTAACTCATCTATACTACTGACGTTCTTTATTGAGCTTTGCACTTTCTTGCTGATTCCATTAAACATTAGAGTCGCAGAGCCATTATGACCAGCATACATCTCAGTATTCGGTTAGACGAACCATTAAGATTTTCTGAATCTGTCGCTCTATTCTCACTGTATATGCTTGTATTTTCATTTCCCACTGGAGGAATATGTTTATCTATCCTATAATTCCTCTCTCAGAATTTCCCATTCTACACCTCACTCAAAAGTCCCTCAAAGGGCCCAATCAACCACAACTAGAATTTTCATACATGATTTTGAATTAACAAACTATTCATAGGTTTTAGGCTTTCATGTAGCACTTTGGGTTTTGTCACCAATAGTCAAAACAAGAGCATGAACCCAGCTTGAAACGGTGAAAGCGATTACGATCTCTAATTACAATTTCTCTATTGTAAACTTTGGAAACAACCTTCATGGCTGAATGACAATCTTGGCATATCCTTAAATTCTTGAAAATGTAAAGAGGCATGCCAGCTTGTGTACTTATGAGTCCAAAACAAACAGCCAGCTTCTCGCTGTGAGAGAACAAAGCCTGTTCCTTTTCCTCCTGGTCGTAACCATAATAATCTCCATCATTAGATCCTGAAAACTTTTCGCAGGTTGTGTCTGGTGCATAACCAGCCAATCTTATTTTTCGAATCATCTCATCCAACATCATATATATCTCTTCACTTTGCGGATGCAATTTATCCCCTGCACTGAAGCAATGGATTTGACCACCAACATAAATAGAACTAATGCCAGGAACTTTTCTGACACCTCTGCTTCTGAGAACTACTCGAATAGAATTTGCCTTGTCATTTCTTCCAGCTAAAGAGTACATATTTGAAAGCAAAACATGATACTCGGTATTATTAGGATACATTTGGACCAGCTCTTTAATTAGGCACTCCCCCAGCTCGAGGTTCTTATGGAAACTGCAGGAGCCTAATAGTGATCCCAACACAACTTCATTGGGGGGAATCGTCATTCTCCTTATTATGGATTCTGCTTCTTCAAGGTGTCCTGCCCGACCCAAAAGATCCACAACACAAGAATAGTGCTCTATAGAAGGCTTTATTCCATACGTCGATTCAAGGCTATAGAAAAGATGTCGACCTTGATCAACCAAACCTGAGTGACTACAAGCACTTAATATAGCTGTAAATGTTACATCATCCGGTTTGACCTCTCTAATCATCTGACCAAACAAATCCAACACCATATCTCCCTTTCCCTGCATTGCCAGTCCACTAAGCATAGCATTCCATGTAATCACATTCCTTCGAGGCATCACAAGGAAAACTCGAAAAGCATCATCAATCCTGCCACACTTAGCATACATATTAATCAAGGTTGTTGCCACAACTATATCTATTTCATGTTCTATCATCTTCAAAGCATACACGTGTACCCATTTACCCACCAAAACATTCCCCGACTGTGCACAAGCTGATAATAATGAACTCAATGTTACAAAATTCAACTCAAATCCAGATTCAAACAACATTTCACGTAGAAGCCCAAAAGCTTCCTTCGTTAAACCATTCTCAATATACGCTGCAATCATTACTGTCCAAGCTACTTCATTCCTCTCAGGCATCTTATCGAACAACAACCTTGCATTTTCAAAACCTTCCCACTTCACCACTCCCCCCAAAACCACAGTCCAAGAAACAACACTCTTTTCTCCCATCTCACTAAAAATCCTTCTTGTTTTATCAATTAACCCACACTTCACATACATATCCATTACAGCATTACACGCTTTAATACTCGAACTAAAACCCATTTTTACCATACAACCATGTCCCTGAATGCCAAACTGTTCACACCCCATTTTGGCGCTTGCAAGGAATACAACCACCATAGTATACTCATCAATCAAAACATCACTCTTCCTCATATGAACAAACAAGTTGAGGCCATCAAGAGGGAATCCCCCGCGAGCATAGCACCCCATTAATGTTGTCCAGTCGACAGTGTCTTTGTATGAAAGAGGAATTTCATCAAACACCTTACGTGCATAGAGAACAGACCCACACGCTGCATACACGTTGAGAATAGCATTACGGAGAAATGTATTTTGACAAGTTACAAGACCTGTGGTGACGATGGAAGCATGAAGCTTCTTACCAACGTCCAAAGCTGAACATCTAGCGCAAGTTCTGAAAAGGGTCCGATAATGGCGAGCAAGCAGTGAGAGAGTACACTCTGTTTGCCATATCATGAGAAAGCTACTAGTGTACTTGTTTCACAAATGAATCTAAATTCAGCATATAAATAATTGTAATGAAATATTACAAAGTTTCGGCCCGATTTCAGTGCAAATCGTTAAGGTCCAAAGTTTTACAGTTTTTTTCAAACAGTGCACTAGTGGCTGGAAGTTTGGAGGGCACAAATTGATGAAAGAAAGGCTTTTAATTTATTTCTCTTCTCTATGTTAAGCCCACAAATGATGTTTCTTAAATAGACGTATCATTTATGTTTTTCATTTATCGTAAGAATGTAAAAGTTAAAGTAAAATTAATGTAATGAAATATTATTCTACAAATTGTCATAATGCAAAGTAACTTTTAAGTTTCTCATGAATTCATATCTTCTCATTCTAAAGTTACAAATTAATAAAGGGGCACTTGAATAAATGTGAACCATTTATAAAGAGGTAATCTTCCTATTATATATATATATATATATATATATATATATATATATATATATATATATATATATATATTTACAACTTAAGAATGTTTACGTAGATTAATTATAAAATGTTATTATCCTTTGCATTAATTAAAAAAATATCCACAATCCAAGACTAGTGCAAAAATAAAGAATAGGAATAATTTTTGGGAGCAAAAAAATAAAAACATGTACTTAAATATCTATATCTATATTACCTTAAAGCATGAACTCCTAGCTTGAATGTTAAATTACTATAATATTCCAAAGTGTTGTGACTTCTCGGAAAGGTCATGATTTTTCAGATAAGACACAATTTTTTTTTGTTCATACTACTCTTTGTTGACTATAAATAGATGGACTTCCTCTCATTTTTCAACCACATTTTTTCTAATCTTCTACTCTTCTTCTTCTTCTTCTTCTTGCATTTTAAATTTTTTTGTGTGATTTATTGTCGTTGAGTGAGTTCGAAATTTAGAATAATATGAGGTACCATTATTCTGATGAAGTAAGTCGTTCTATCCTAAGAGGGTATATTCCATAACCTCGAGTACTTGAGGAAAATAATATAATTTTTATGATATAATAATTATTTTTTTGCTTAATATATACATTAGTATGTAATGTTCCAATATATGAAGTTAACATAATGTAGTCTAAATTCATTTGTTTTTGTTAACAATTTCTCTTGTGATGTAGATATATGCTTTTGAATATCTTTTTCCAAAATCTAGAGAATTGTCACGATTGGTTTTTGATGCTCAAGACAAAAGAATGAATTTATTTATCATTGTTACTTATGTGATTTAGACTCTCAGGAAGTTTGCTTCAAAATAGTTATTACTATATAAACATTGCCGTTTTGTTTTACTTATTTATTATTTCTTAATATTTCAGTATTTTAGACGAAGAAAAGTTCATATGACTTTCTATAACGCCAGTTGAAGTTTGTATTAGTTTAATTTTTATTATTTATTTGATAGCTAATTTTATGAGATAAGTATTTTTATTAATGCAATTATATATTTATTAGTTCACCTGCTTGCATACAATCCCCTGGCAATTGTAAACACATACTTTACACCACTAATCAACTTTTTTTCTTCACCATGAAGCATTACTTATACAACCTATTATTGGTTAACCTGCTCACATACAATCTCCTGCCAATTTTAAACACATACTTTACATATATATGTTACTTCTAACCTTACTTTAGATGCACTTTACATCTTAATGATACCCTCCTTTATGTAACAAATCCTTGCCTAATCATGCCGATTTCGACCATTTGCCACCCTCATCAATGGTACTAATAAATAATAACGAATAGAATTAACATTGTCACTCTAATCTCCCAATGGTAGTCATCAAGCTCCATCCCACATGACGACTGAAATTTAACTACCAAATACTATTTGAAGAGGCTAAATATTTACTAGGCTGCAGCGTGCAAGACTACATAGAATCGACCTCAGTAAAGATATGAACTGTATTTATACCTAAACACCTTAATAACCAATGGACTCCGCCGCATAGGTACGTTGTCTAATACATCCTAACTTTTACAGTTATCTTATTGTGATACTTCATAGCACAAAAGAGAAGAAAACAATTGCACGATTACATATACATAACAATTGATGATTCTTTTAATTTTATACATTAGGTTAGTTTTGAAAGAAAATGCTCCCATCATGCTGCTGAGAAAACTGGACCCTTCAAATGGCTTATGCAATGGGGCATGGTTGATTTGTAGAGGCTTTGACGAGAATGTCATATATGCAGAAAAACAACAATACCCTTTCAAATTTATTTGGAAACAATTTCCAATATGTCTATGTTTTTGCAATGATGATAAATAAAGCTAAAGGTCAAACGATATCAAATGTAGGAGTATACCTACCACAACATGCTTTCTCGCATGGCAAACTATATGTTGCACTATCTAGAGGAATATCTATGTCAACAAAAAAAGTGCAGGTCATGACTGAACAACCAGATTGATACACCGGGACATACACAAGAAAATACTGTCTACAAGAAAGTATTAGGTGAGATTTGATTAATACCAAAATTGTAAGAAATCAAACAAGAAAAAACATACACCACACAAGTTGCTAATGAAAATTATATTGGAAGAATTCTTAGTTTTGGTGGAAGAGGAGACGATATGAAAAACAATAGACAGCTACCACAGTAGACATTACTTTTGTGTATATAAAGTTATTCAAATACAGGGTACACTGAATTTCAAATATTAAAAGGGAGCATACACTTCATGACACGACATAACTAAGAGGACAAACTGTTAATTCGTGCACAATTACTTACTAACAAATTGCCTAATAACAATTTAAGAATACGACGTTCGTCACTACATGCCGAACAAGCAAGAAGGCAAATAGATTGGCCATTTACTTAGTATGATGTAGTGCAATATTAAATGCATATTGATATGTTGAAAGCCTAAAATATACATAAAATATAAAATATATCGTGTATAGGGATCTCAGGACTTAACCTACACATGCAACGCACGTGCAGTGAATCTAGTCAATATATATATTTCAAGTTGAGTTGACACATAGTGAAATGAGGCAACAACAAATATCCAAAAAGTGAAGTATTCTTCAATAAAATGAACATAAGTTGAGACCCGACAATACATACTATATCCTTGATATTATGCAAATACTGCTATACTAACATATTATTTTTATGGTAATGCACACACGCCTTGAATCTATGAGTGTTCTAGAAAGATGACCCAAGTCTTTCATAAAAGATGACCACACCATTACACACTCACATAAGTGCTTTCAGAAAGTCTATTTCCTATCAAATAAATTATCTTAAGGCTATAAAATTATTAAGAGAAAAATAAGATCAACCTTATAAATATTATCTTATGTCATAGGGATAGGAAATGAAGTATATATTAAGGGGTCGTTCAATATAATGGATAAGAAGAGTTAATCCCAGGATAATTTTTGAGTGGCCTTTATATAGCTTTGTTTAATTCATACTCACTGAGCCTTGCTGTCCTATATATCAAAATAATTCATGATATTCAGAGCTAATACCTGTAGCTATAATAATGGATGACAACAGGAGATGGGCTAAGTCTAGAGGTTTACCAGTGGAAGAGGGTCACAAATTTCTTACTCCTAAATCCTAATCTCAAGAATATTTGCAACATTTCTTCCAAACTTGGAATACAAGTTATCACTGCTTTTGCTTTCTCTACTCATGAAAACTGTACCCGTTCCAAGGTGCGCCTTTCGTTAAATTGACCTTGCAAATAGTTTCTTCAGAATCAAGAAAATGACTTTTTTAGTGGGAGTAGAAACGGAAAAAAGTTTCAGAAATGATAGTTTTTTTCTCGTCAAGGGGCAGAGGCTAGATATAACTTACCAATTTCTAGATTGCATATAGATGTTTTTGGGACAATAATTATTGTTTACTTACCAAACACGATAAAATAAATAAATTATAAAATGATTAATTTTCAATAAAACAGCAACAACAAGAGCATCCCACAGGTAGAGTCTGACGAGGATAGGGTGTACACAAATCTTATTCCTACTTCATGAAGATGATTAAAGAGGTTGTTTCTGTAATTTTTCAATAGAACATTGTCCGTGAAAACATTTGCACCTATGAAGTTGCATCTTGTATCTATCTATATGATCTTTTTCTGTTTCCATTGTTTAGGCATAATAATTTGATTTTGAGCAGGAGGAGATTGATTTCTTGATGCAACTGTTCTAAGAGTTCTTTGAAGAATTCCTGAGCTACTCCATATTAATTTGCTTTTGTTTTATTGATGATTCTTTTGTCAGTGTAATGTAACATGTCTTATTTGTTAGGTTATTGCTCTCATTTTAATGAACAGTTATCAATAAACTATGGAGTGCACGTTCTGAAAAGGATGCAATAAAGGCGAGCCAGCAAAGAGAAACAGAGAGAGTATACTCTGTTTGCCATATCATGGGAAAGCTAGTATACTCTTTTCACATATGGTTCTAAATTCAGTATACAAATAATTGGAATATGTAATTTGATTAGTGATAAGATGCGGAGAGACGATTCACCAATGTAGCTCGAGAATGAGAATGCATGGTAACTGTTTGTTTACCTATGTCACTGCCATTGAGACAAGTGACCCATTCATGTCCAACTTTGAGAAAAGACTTATTTATGCCATCTGTTAAAAGTTGAGCTCACCCATGCCACTGCTGTGACACAAATAATCCATTCGTGCCATTATTTATAAACAAAAAAACATTTATTATCAAGTTGGTTGAAAACTGCTAACTTGCTCTCAGACATTCGTAAAATGAATCAATGGTTTCATGTAATATCAATTGCATAAACTTCCATTCAAATCCCTTATTTTGCTCCAAATTAATACTTGATCAAAAGTTCATCTGCGTCATTATCATGATCACACATCGATAGATTCAACCAACAACAAGTTAATCATGCTCTTGACATTTCCTCTGGAGTTTGTGTATCCATCTCCCTCTTGGTATAGAGTGTCCATCACGCGTGCACAATTTAAAATTCGTTCGAGGACAAACATTGGTACTTCAGTAGGACGGAATATTAATGTGTTGTTTATATCTTTCCATGCATTCGTGATTTCCTTCTGAAACTCAATGTATGTCTCTTCCTTTGAAGCTCCATATTTTTTCATGTAGCATTCAATAATTGAAGGTATATGTGCTCTTTGTTGTTCAACCTACATGAAATATCTTCAGTACAATTTTTATTACAAAATTAGAAGTGTGATCCTGGGAAACAAAATAAATAGATATTTGTTGTTGTACTTACTTCATGTCCAGTCATATCACACGTTATCCGTTAATTACTGAGATAGATCGAACTATCAAAGGCTCATTTCATCCATTCAAAAGTCTCTCTAGATATAAATTCGTCTATACCGATCAAGGAGGTTGTTGCTGTCATCATATAGCCACAGCTTACAAGTGCATTCTTCATATACTCCTCATAATTCGGAGTATAGCCAGCATCCAACCATTGGGCATCCCTCATAAAGGTTCTCACCTGCAGCTTCTTCATCTAAAATGGAAATTAAATACAAAGTAATTAAGCTAGAAAATAAATATCTTCTTCTTTTGGTATGAAAGATATTCCTTGTCATAAAAGTTTTTATTTCTTCAATTTAACTGAACTGATTTATATATGGGTTAGTCAAGCAATATTACCTCATATTTTGCATAATATATGCGGTCTGATTTACATTCGTTGGCCAGTATTTCCTCCATTTCACTGTAAACATCTAGAAGGGATTGATAAATAGGTCTCATAAATGGAGGTAATGAATCGATCGAAGTAATGTCCCATCGAAAAATCAGGATTTGTATCAGACCTAAAAGCAAACTTTTACGTCACACAATAACAACAGGATTTACAATTAATTACCTCTGGATTGCATCAGTGAAAGGCACAAGTTCGTTTGCATAAGCATCAAAAGTGTCATCAATGACGCTGTCAATCTGAATTACTTTTGTCAGCATTTTTCTCGCACGACTATACTTTGGCTCAAAATACACTCCTAATATCCAAAAATAGCACTCAACCAATTTGTCTCTTCAATATGGATATTTGTTTACAAAATCCAAATCTTTCCACCACCTACATCATATATAAGATTGATTTGTTGCCTTTAATTCTCGTACATTAAACCAAAATTCATAATAAAATTAAGGAAGATAAATCAAATAATGTACCTGGTAAGCTCGCTAAGCTCTCTCTGGTGCAGCTTCTGCAATACATTAAAATTCAATTTCGCAAATCTCAAAAGTAAATCGTTGTGTGCATCAATGCCTTCGTAAATGGATATGTAATTCCTTGATCCCACCCTTGGTGTAGCTTTAAGAATAGGGTACCTTAAGACTTCAGTAACTTGAACTTTTAGTGAGTTGGTCAAGCTGGGGAGCATGAACTCAAGATGATTGGTGGTAAAGGTAAGAGCTTCTTCAAGAATCTCCTTATCGTGCACTCTCAGATGTGATGCTTCATACAAACTCAATAATCCTTGAACATCATTGGTAAGCGTTTCCTTGAATTTTCCATCTTGTTTGGTGAATTGCTTGAAGACATCTGGTCAAACACCATGCATATTTTTAATTTGATAGAAATTAGTTTAGTTAAAATCCAAAACAACATAACCAGTTATATATGTCAAGTCAAAATATGTAAACTTCTCTCTCAGTACAGTATAGTTACAATTAGGAGCAACCAACAAAAAGCTACTGGAAAGGTTGACAACAAAGAAAAAGATAAACTTGAGTATGCTTTGGAAAATAATGAACATCCATCCTCAAGTATCTGATCTATACAGGGAGCAGCCAGCAAAATAAGAAAGAATAATTTAGAGAACAAAGATGAAAGCTAAGGGAGCAGCTACTATATATAAAAGGAATAAACAGATACCAAAGAGAAATGTAAAGATATGACACCTGAGCATAAATCAACCCCAAAAGCTAGCTCATGAGAGGAGGTTTGTCCAAGTTCATATAAGGAAACCAAATTCCTATCCATCTACCGATGTGGGACTTTAACAACTATCCACATACAAAAATGTGTTAAAACAATCAATTTTGGCACATATATATTATGAATGACAAAAATCAAAAAATGGAATCTTGAAAGTGCCTACATACAGAAATGTGGTAAAATAATGTTTTTTGCACATGGTATAAAAGACAAAAATCAAAAAATAAAATCTTAAATAAGTACCCATACATACAAAAATGTGTTAAATCACCCAATTTTTGCACAGAAATTATTAAAGACAAATACCACTATTTTTTCCAACCTGAGAGGTAACATGGATAGTGTTTAATTTTGATAATGGTTCCAAACGTAACGAGAACGGACAAAGCCACATTGCTATGTGCAAATGTATTGAAGGACGAAAAGACCGGAAGGACTACATGGATAGTTTAGGTTTATTTTAAAATGGGTTACTGGGTGGGTTTTTTACCTAGGATGGGTTGGGTAGTTAAATTGGATTTAAAAAAAGAAAAAAAGGTCTGATATACCCTTCAATTTTGTCATTTAGAGTTGATATACTCCAAGCGGCTCATATATACACCCATTATTACACAAATGACTCAGATATACCCCTTTTCTCTAATAGAAATGTATCATTATATTTGTGGTAGATTAAAATATAAAATATTCACGTAACTTTGAAAAGTGAAATATTGTTTTAAAAAATCATCAGAACCAAGCACAATAAAATATTATTTTATATTAAGAGCATGTTTGGCATTGCTGTTGAGAGCCCATAAGCACTTATTTTGAGAATTTTTATTTTTATTTTTTTAAATTAGGTGTTTGGCAAACCTGAAACTGCTTTTAAATAGAAGCAGAAGCAATTTTTCTGCTATTGAGAAGAAGCTAAAAAAATTTGCTTCTTAAAAAGCAGAAGCAGAAATAAAAAATTATTTTGCTTCTTAAATCAGTATATACTCTTATATTATCATTGACTAATGAGTAATTTCTGAACAAGTAACCTTAATGATACCAATACAGTATATATATACTTATTTTGTATCAATTAAGAGAAATGATCAGTTTTAATGATACCAATTTGTATATGATACTGATTTAGTATCAGTTAAACGAAAATTATCAGTCTTAATGAAGGAAGTGTATGGGCTGTAATTATTTATGAGAGATTGAGTATTTCTTGAATTATTTTGAATTTGAGTATGAACATTTAATTGTTTTGTGTTTTATGGCCCATTTATGTAGTTCCTATATCATTCTTGCTCCTATTTGCAACATTCCCTAAACCTGACCACATATTTGTATGATATATTACTTTTTATGAACTTTATTGAGCTCGTTCATATTTGAATTGATTCGATTCGACTTGTTCATTTATCATCTTAATTAGTATGTCTACTTTTTTTTAGTCCGCCTCCGTTGCTAGTTGTATCAATCTATCGAAATATAATTGGAAAAGTATTAAACAAGATAGATAAAATTGTCAATTTATCAAGGCTTATGAACAATTAAAAAATAAATAAATTGAGGTGTTGTTAATCATATACCACAAGCTTTGGAATTTGTACCTAAAAGTATAATTGCAAAGAAGAATGAACAAGAGGCCTTAGCTGTAACATCCGACAATTTAAAATGAATATGAAGAAGCTTGAAATTGGAAGTAGTCCCTTTTGGAAAAAGTTAAGAATCTGGAAATTTGGCTAAGTCCAGAATCTAGAAATTTGGCTAAGTTCAAAACCTGGAAATTTGGTTAAGTGTGGGAAATCAGTGAGTTCTTGGCCAACTTTGAGCAGTCATAACTCTTAGCTCAGGATGATCCAGGAGTAGTTCCAGTTATATTTGGAAATCCCTTGAAACGATCTTTCCAACGCCACCGAGTTTGCTCGATTCCGAGTTTGTATGAGCGAGTTATGCCCTTTGAAAGTTGGGCAGTTGGCAGGGAGTCCGTCCGGAAATTTAAGGGCATTTTGGTCTTTTCACAAATCATTTCTTTTGAGGTTATATTGTTGTGTTAGGCTGATTGTGGATCATTTTTGTTCCATTTTAAAAGAGTAAAGAGTTAGGGTTCTTGAGAGTGAAGAAGAGAAGAAGAGGAGAAGAAGAGGAGAAAGGGAAGATCAAGCAAAGATTCTTCAAGATCATCGTGGATTTTTGTCGGGGGTGATCCCTATCAAGGTATGTGAGTTCTTAGTGTTGGGTGATCCTTTCCTCCTACACACCAAGCTCATTTTTTATGATTTGAGAAAAGATTGGAATTGTTGTTGAAGTTGTTAGTTGTTGATGTTGTTAGTTGTGTTGTTGAAGTTATTGTTGGTTGTGGGACATGATTGGGTTGTGTATTTGAGTTGTAATCTCTTGTATGTTGAGGGATTTTATGATCCTTAGTGTTGGTTGGTTCATACCCCCACACACCAACTCGTTTTTAATTCCAAGAAAAGATTTATTTTGCTTGTTGAAGTTGTTGGTTGTGTTGTTGAAGTTCTTGCTAATTTGGGACAGGATTTGGTTGTGTTTTGAGTGGAATCCACTGTAGGTTGAGGGGTTTATGACCCCAAGTGTTTGGGAAAAGAACCTTTGAAGTTAAGAGGGTTAGAGTTGGCATCATGAAGGAGAAAAGGAAGGCTGCTTTCAGGGAAACAAGTCTGCGTCGCGGCTGTGTTCCCTCTGTGAACAAAATCTGATCTGTTTTCAGAATTTAATTTCAAAATTCTTCTTAAGTTTAGCTGTCCTAAATTATTCCTAATCATCATGGGGTCTTTCCAAACACAAATCATTTGTCACACCCCGAGCCTACACCCTGGGCGGGACCGGCACCTGGAGACCATTGCTGGCCCCAGGCGAACCCTTGGCCTGGCTTTCTTAACTCAGCGGAAACCTAACTCAACAGAATAACTCAACGTCATGCAAAGACATAAACAACTTAACTAATAAAAATATGGCCCAAAGGGCAACTCGAGTCTCAAAATAGAATATTTACACATATATACATATACATGGATAAGAGACTCAAAACTAACTGACTGACTGACTGTCTGACTGTCTATTGAAGCCTCTAATATACTGAGATGGATGTGGGGACAGACCCCGCAACATCCTAATAGAACAAAACTAAGTACACAAAATAATTGAGTCCTCCAGAATGCAAGGAGGCTCACCACAGACTCTGGAGTGCTCAGCTGGATCAACGACGTGCAGGATGCTGATCCGGGGTACCTGTATCTGCATCATAAGACGATGCAGGCCAACTGGCATCAGTACATGGAATGTACGAATATGTGAGATGGAAAAGCTGAACCACAACTTAAGCTTGAAAGGAGAACAAGAGATCACTTACCTTGACTCTGAACGACTCATATACATAACTGGACTCAAAGTAGAGCAATAAGACACGAGCCACACATATAAAGCTTGTAAAAGAATGTAAACAACTTAGATCGTTAAGGATAAAATGACAACAAACTCCACTTTTCTTTTATAAACATAATACAGCTTTTGTGGGAGGTTCTTTAACCGACAACCACCACTACGAGCCTTAGTGATGATACAACGTTTTACCTCACGTTGCCAAAGGACCATCCTATACCTTGCCATCGATATAGGACCTTACTTTTGCTTAGTGGATCCACTAGCCTAATCTTACGTGATCATCTAAATAGAATGATACGTCAAGTCCCATGTTGGCGCATGGTTCTTATGGAGAGTCGAGTTAATATGAACTCGTGTCCCCAATTCGGTGCTCAATACTACTCCCAAAAATACTTCGGCTCATGCTTTTAAAATAACTTCTTTCTTTGACTGAGACGATTACTCAAAACTTAGCCCAAAGGCTCTTTTGGAAAACATGGCTCCTTTCTTACTTAAATGTAAAAACATTTAGAACTTCTTTGGGAAGTACATAGTTCCCTAATAACTTTGGAGAAATGGACTCGACTCTTTACTCCTTACTTTACTTAAACTCTTTACTTTTGACTTGACTTGAAACTCTTAACTCAACTTG